CTAGGCACTACTGTAATACAAACAAATAATACCCATTGGGTATTATTCAGAAGAGCAGTTCTGTATAAGCTCAAAAGTTTGTCTGTCTCTCCAACAGAAGTTGGTCCAATAAAAGATACTACCTTGCCCAGTCTTTCCAATATCCAGGACCAACACAACACCGCCACCACTTCCTGCATTATAAAAGCATGAATTTAGTCCCTCATGCCTACATCACATGATTTTGTGGAGACAAAAAAGTTACTGCATATTCAAACTTAAGTCAATAAGATGCTAACATTTCCCATCACCATTGCCTAAAGTCATAAAATGTTCTCTGATCACACTTCCCCATGAATTATATTTCATATCACATAAAAATGGTGTCCAAAGTACAATCTATACCTCCTCTGTGATGTTTTAGGATACTGTAGAAAAGCTTTTAAATAGCCATAATAGAGATGAAAAAGAACTTTTGGCCATTTAGGGTCATTCTCTGCCAATGCAACTTTGTACGTTGCAATATAATTCCGAGTCTTTAGTTCAGTGAAGGGCCCAAATCCATTTGCTGTGGATGTAAGATCTTAACTACAGTTTCTGCTAAGAACTTTTTATATAGGCCTGGATGAGGACTAGCTGACAAAGAACAATACATAGCTAAGAGAAAGCTGGGGTCATCAGATAACCTTGTGTGTTTCAAGTCAGTGAGCAAAGTCAGCATAACTTCAAATGTAATTGGGTGTCCTTATTGTGAGTTATAGCCACATGAAGCACTGAGAAAGGCCTCATGGTTACACCCTAATGCAGGGAGGAGATAGTGGTACAATACCCCTCAGATCCCAGACAGAGTTTGGGGAGAGGCCTAATATGATTGACATGAGTTATGACACCCTCCCCTCACAGATGTATGCCAATCCTAGCCCAGAGAAATGCAAGGGTAAACTTCTAAACAATTGTTATTGTTAAGTACTAATTACTGCTTTTTTGCTTTAAATCTCTAGGAATGTACCTGTTGGTCAACCGAGAGAGCAGCTACCTCATTCCCCTGGACCCCAAAATTAGGATTTAACCTGTATACTTTAATAGACATAGCTTGGGGGTAATTACCTGTGTGTCAGCAATATGTTAATTTGGTCCTTGGACAGAGACATTATGTAATCTTTTAGACCATTGGCTTACTGTGCTTATCTTGTCTTGCTGCTGGAACCTATCCAGGGAATTGGGGAAAACCCATCCTCGTTGCTTCTCTCCGCCCAATGAGCGCCCTATATAATCTATTGTAATTAATTGTTCTGCAGTGTCTCTGAGCCTGATAAACAAGGTGACACTCTGCCAGTGCAGTGCATAATAAACTCCTGTGCTTGACTCTACACAGTGTCCATTTTGATCCTTTATTCAGGCTTGGGTTTAATGAAATGCAGAAGGATCCTCCACTATTTGGAAGATTATTCCACAGTTACTAGCTCTCATTGTAGGGATATTTTAAATAAATGTAGCATAATTTTCCATTTCATTCTATCCCATTGCTCCGATTATCACCATAAAAATAATGATCCTTCCTTAATGTTTACACTATTCATATATTTCTATCTTTACACCTTCCTCCGCCCCTGCAATCTTATTAGTCATCTCTAAAGCTGGCTATACTTAGGCCTTTTAGTTTTTGCTTCTAAATCAAGCTTTCCAGTCCCATAACCATTTTTGTTGCTCTTCTCCATACTACCTATGTGTTAATAAAGTATCAGAACTGAATACAGTACTCACCCAGCTAGTCTCCAGTACTAGATTCTTTGCTTACACTAGATCCGCAAAGATCTTAGAGAAGAGCATGAGTATCAACTCAGTGTTTAATACCCCTTCCAGATAGATCCCAGAAGTGATTCTTGATTATTCCCATATCCTCAATTGTTCATAACATTTGTCCCCCCCATGGCCTATACTCTTCAAATGATGACAAAATTGAAAAATGTTTCCACTTAGCCAAATAGACCTAGTAGATGGTTTTCTACAATTAAGCAGGGTTTTCTGAACTGCTTTGAGCATTGCCCTTCCTCCTCATCTAACCACGTACCATCCATGCTGTGAGGGGCAGACTGTGCAACACCAGATGAACAACTTGCTGTGGCGCTCAGTCAGCGAATTAGAAAGGAGAGAATGAGGTTTGGGAGGTCAAGCAGACAAACTGAGAAGGTCAGAGAACCCACACTGTCTTGGCCAGGTTGGTGCAATAAGTATCAGGTTGGCACAGTCCAACCTGAGTTTGATGGTAACCTGAGGGATGAGAGGAATAAGGGGAAAAGGCATACATTAGGTCAACTCCCCAGTTCAGATGGGAGGCATCGAGTTTGGGACCCAGAACTGAGTCTTGCTCAGGAACAAAACTGATGACATTTCTTATCCTTTGTTAAGAACAAGTCAACCAATGGAATGTCCCATTCCCTGAAAATGGACCTCATTATGGTGCTCTTTAAAGATCATTTGCTGTTGTTTGAGAAAGTCCTGCAGAGTTGGTTGGCCAACAGGTTTTGAGATTCCAATAAATATGCTGCTGTGGGCATATCTTCCTTGTTCTAAAACTCCACTGCCTCCTGACAATGATGTTTGGAATGGGTTCCTCCCTCCTCCTCTGATATTACATTGTGATGGCACTGTCAGTGAGTATGTGAACTGTTGCTCCCTGATCTGATTCTTTAAGGCGTGATACACATTGTAAATGGTCCAAAGCTCCAATATGCTGATATGACAGGACACTTCCTGCTCTGACCACAGACCCTAGATGTGCTTCCCAACCTACCGTGGAGGCATTGGTGACTACTGTTCTGGTCAGCAGAAAAACAGGCAAAGGGAAAACTCTTGCACACGTTGTTTTGTTCTGCCCACCATTTTAACAAGTGCAATATTTCTGGAGGCACTTGGACATATCTGTCCAATGACTGGTAACTTGGGCAATAGACCAACTTCAATCATGACTAAAAAGAACAAAGATACAATCTTGTGTGTTGACTCATATAAGGGCATGTGGCCATATGGCTCAGTAGCTTCAGGCATAGATGGACATGGTCAAAGGATGTCTAGACAAAGGTGCCGAATTGTTTGGAATGACTTGAACAGAAAAAAGGCCCTTGAATTTGTAGATTCTAGTAGGGCCCCAGGGAATTTGATTTTTTGAGTTGGATTCAAAATTGACTGCTCCATTCAAAACCAGCCCCAGTCAATCGAAAAAGTCCAGTGTGACTGAAGAGTTGTTCCTTGGATGCGCCTCTGAGTTGGCAGTTGTCTGGGTACAGAAAGACATGAATTCCCCTTCTTCTGAGACACAGTACTACCACTGTCATGCATTTGTTAAAAGAAACACGGGGCTGATGACAGGCCAAAAGGGGACAACAGTATATTGATAGTGCTGGCCAGCGACAAAAAAAAAATCTCAGGAACTTCCTGTGACCTAGGAAAATTGCCATGTGGAGATAGGCATCGTGAAGACAGAGCAGCAAACCAGTTGCTGTGATTCAATATGGGAAGAACAGTTGCCAGGGTAAGCATGTGGAATCTCATGTACTTGATAAACTTTCTGAGATTGCAGAGATTGAGGATAGGTCTCATCCATCCCTGAAACTTGGGGATCAGGAAGTACTAGGAGTAAAATCCCTTTCCCTGATGAGGAATCTCCTCTATAGCTCCAAAGCACACAGAATCTGGACCTAGTGAAGGAGCAGTGACTTGTGAGAGGGGCCCTTGAAAAGCAACATGGAAGGGCGTCGGATGGAGAGAAAGTGTATGGCGTAACTTGATCCCACAGTGCTTAGGATACATCTGTCCATTGTTATAGTATCCCAAGCACTGTAGAAGTGAGCCAGCCTCTCCTGGAACTGAGGAGACAGGATTGAAACATTCACAACTGGGAAGCTGCTCTTGATATGAATGTCAAATAGGATGCCTGCCTGAAGATGGAGGAAGACGGGCTGGTTGGGTAAAACTAGAACCAGAAGATCTCTGTGATCTATGCCTTTTTCTAGGGAAGTTCTGTTGCCTATCAAGGTAGGATGGCTGACAGAAGTATTGCTGGGGGTGATGTTGCTGGTGTTGCTGCTGACCCTCAAAATGATGTCTCTCTGAGGCCCAAGTGTAATCCCCCAAAGATTGTAAAGTAGCCTGGGAGTCCTTAAAAGAACGCAATGTCTCATCAGTTTTCTCAGAAAACAAAAACTGATCCTCCATGATCTGTTGAGCCTCAGGAGCTGTGCCAGAATTCTGTAACCACGAGGCCCTCCTCATTCTCACAGCTGATGGACAAGGCATCCACTGCATCCAGCGAGGTTACTTTTCCTTGGGGGAGCAGAGGAAGGGGAACAATCCCTCTTCCTCCTGGGTGAAAAATCTAAGTCCTGATGTAGAGCCCCAGTCCGTACTGGCACAGGCTCTCTGGGGGGCTGACAATCACCTCCTCCATCCCCTCCTGCACCCCAAAACCATTATTATACTTTTACACTAATATTTTGTTAGTATTAGATTAAAAGATGTTTTTGGCTTTGAAATTGAAAATCCCTATGCCACTCAAGAAAGGTCAAGGGGACAAGATAGCGTAACCTTCAAGATGCATTACTCACTTTCAAAGAGAGATGTGCCTCAATCAGCCTCAAAATAATGGCTGGGGGTATAGTCACTGACACTCTACAGGTTCCTCTTTGAAGACTAATGTTTACAATATTTTTTTTTATTAAGAACAAATCTCAGTAAATTGACTAATTGAAACTTGAAATTTAGGAATGAATTTCCACTCCAATCAACATTTGGGGGTTAGGCTCATGATTATGTTTTGTACCTACATTACTAAGTGACATTTGTAAGGAAAGGAAAATGGAGGTTGACAGAATTTTTTTAAAGCATTAGAGACTCCTGATCTGTTCCATATCATTTGGCAAAGATTATTAATCTATGTAGTCGTCATACCTGTACCCGACATAATCATTATAATAAATTCTGTAAAATGTGATGTTTATAATGAGTAAAAATACAAAAACACATTCCATGAATTTTTTTATTTAACTACATATAAGTACATGTGAACAATTGAAATAAACCCCATAAAAATACAGTACTTTTTTGAGCTGTAACACTATTTAGTCACAATGTTTATATAGAAAGATATCCATTTTACTGCTTTCTTGAAACTCATCACCATATTTTTAAAAAATTCTCTCTTCTCTTAAGCCCTTTTTAGTGATTGTTTCCTTATAGAAACTTTACCAAAATGTGTTTTTGTAAAAGTTAAAAAGTTAATATGTATTTTCAACCCTTTATCTGAACCCTCCCAAAAAGCAAATTTTTAAAAAAATCGAATACATAAAATACTGATCAGCTTTTATTCCACAGTCTTCACATATGTTCAACATTTTATTACTACTGTAAAAGAGGTTTATTCCTACAGCATCTATTACTACTAGATGCAGTCTGGGCTGAATATCCAGTACAGCCACCTAGACCACTGTCATGTCATTAGGCTGCTGACTGAACATTTATATAGTCTCAACAGTTACAAATCTAGATTACTTGTGATGTTTTCCAGTGGCTGTAACATATAGAATTTATAACATCTTGTTTGTTAATAGTCTGTACAATATCCTTGCTCCAGTACACTGGGAAGTGAATTCCTCTGTGAAATTAAGTCCTGTACCATCCACAATGTCAGGGCCACATTATGGTGATAGAAATAAGAAAAAACTTCAAAGCAGGAAGGATAATTGCACTCTACATGGTCAGACAATTCAAGGAAAGTATATCTAACATTTGGTTTAGTGATTACATTTAAACAAACTTTTGACCATAATCATAGTAAGGTCAGGTTAATTTTGTTACAAGGGTTTTTTTCAGTATTATTTGGATATTTTTAAAAACCAGCATTAGTTAAATAAAGCTAGATGTCCAATGTACAACAGAATCCTTAAACAGGCTTTAAAAGCATCTCCTACAGAGTTAAGATGTAGCTTTAGCACATCTGGCAGTGCAGAGTTTATTCTATTACCTTACTAAAGCTACACAACAACAAGAATAAATGATGGATTTTGCCTGAATAAAATATTTTTTCCCTTATTAAACTTCGCATGTGCATGTCTGGTTGTTTTGAATGTACTAGAATGTTAAAAATCCTTGGGCAATCAGAGGCTAAGCTACCACTCAGTTGCAAATATTCCTCTCACTGGTTTAATTATTTTTGAAAATTAATACTGAAGTTACTGCACATGCAAAGTGCACATCATCTAAAATGTGCAGTTTCAAGACTGTTTAAAAATTATTTCCATTTAAAAGACAAACTTAAAGGCCTGACATGTTTTTAAAGTGATCCAAAATTTATCAGCAACCCTTCTTCAGTTTCTCTTAAAACCATCCTTCACACAGATATGGCTAAAGAAATTGTGACACTTCTTCAGAAATGTGTGATCAGTGTCACATTATCCAAAGAGGAATACTGGGAGGATCATTATACGGTGATGGTGATTTAAGAAGTCTGCTGCTAGGTGCTATAGCACCATCCATTAGTTCCTAATTACTAGCACCAATGGTTTAAATAACCTTGCTTTGCTAAGACAGACTGACAGCATTTTTAACAATTTGATTGGTTTTGAGAACTGTAGTTACTTTCTACAGCCACTTAACTTTTGTTTGGAGCAGTATTTATTAAAGAGTGTGCAAACATATAATCATTTGCATAGCAAACCTCAAGAGACTGACTCTGAAATAGAAATCCAAACTGTCAGGTTAAGGTACTTCTATAATCAGAATTCCTTTAAAACAACAAATATTTAAAAATACACATTTCCTAATTTTAAGTTTAGTATAAAAGGTGTTTCTGATTTAGAATTTTTATACAGTTACCAGTTAAAAAGTTGAAAAAGATTGACAGTTCTTTGCACTGAAGTGTTATTCCCTAGTAACCTTCAAGACTCTGTAAATACTGTTCTGGAATACTGTGTTGAAATATGGCCTGGGGTCCTTACTCATACGGTTACATAAAGGAATTTTGCCAGCATTGGCAGGTTCTTCCACATCCCAAATTTCAGGCATACTGCAACCGGGCCTAGAAAATATTTGAATATGTAAACAAAAATAAAGAAGGACAAGTAAGGAAATGTAATGAAAGAAACATATGGCAAGTTTGTTTTATAAACTAAGGGTTAAAAATGACTGACCTACAAAGGGGAAAAAAGGGTTTCTGAACTCTTGCTCCTTTATGATGAATTACGGAAAGCACTTAGGTCTTCTTTAAAGGTTTTTTTCATTTGTCTTTATATTGGAAATACAGGTCATATTGGAGAATTAGTGAAAAAATGGTTACCTACCTTTCGTAACTGTTGTTCTTCAAGATGTGTTGCTCATGTCCATTCAATTCTGGGTGTGCACGCACTCACATGTGCGGTCGGAGATTTTTCCCTTAGCGGTATCCATAGGGTTGGCTGTGGCGCCCTCAAGTGCGGTGCTCACGTGTCTGTATATTAGGCGCCGCTGGCCCTACGCCCTCTGTTTTTTCTTGTCAGCAACTCCGACAGAGGGGCGGGAGGGCGGATAATGGAATGGACCTGAGCAACATCTCGAAGAACAACAGTTACGAAAGGCAGGTAACCATTTCTCTTCAAGTGCTCGCTCATGTCAATTCCATTCTAGGTGACTCACAAGCAGTATCCATGGAAGTGGGCTTGGAGTTCACGGTCTTGCAGCACTGCTCTGCCAAAGCCAGCGTCGTCTCGAGTTTGCTAGGTAAGTGCACAATGAGACGTGAACGTGTGGACAGATGATCAGGGAGCGGCCCTACAGATCTCTTGGATTGGCACCTGTGCCAAGAAAGCCGCTGATGACACTTGCGCTCTAGTCGAGTGTGCCGTCACAGCTGCTGGCAGAGGCACTTTTGCCAGCTCACAGCAGTAGTGGATACAGGCCATGATCCGGGATGAAATCCTCTGAGCAGACACTGGGTGACCTTTCATCCTCTCTGCCACCGCAACGAACAGCTGTATTGACCTGCGAAACAGCTTTGTCCTGTCGATGTAGAAGGCCAGCGCCCTCCTGACAGCCAAGGTGTGCAACCTGCATTCCTCTTCCAATTTATGAGGCTTTGGGAAGAAGACAGGTAAGTATATGTCCTGGCTGGTATAAAATTGGGAAACTACCTTGGATAGGAATGCTGGGTGCAGCCACAGCTGGACCTTATTCTTACAGAATACTGCATAGGGTTGCTCTGAAGTAAGTGCCCTGATCTCAGACACCCTGCAGGCAGACATTATCACAACCAGGAACAAAACCTTCCAGGAGAGAAGAGGAGAGCAGGAAGCCAGAGGCTGAAAGGGAGGCCCCACGAGCCGCGACAGCACCAGATTCAAGTCCCAGGGAGGAACAGGATCCCAGACGTGAGGGTAGACACGCTGCAGACCTTTCAAAAACCGGGCCATCATGTTGTGAGCGAAGACCAACCTGCCCTGGAGTGGAGGGTGGAAGGCTGAAATAGCGGCCAGGTGGACCCTGATCGACGACAGGGACAACCCTTGGAGCTTGAGGTGCAGAAGATAATCCAGCGAGGCCTGGATAAATCATTCCGAGGCCCAGCATGTGAACCTTTTCCACTTGGCCAGGTAAGTCGGTGTGGTGGAGGGTTTTCTGCTACCCAACAAGACCTGTTGAAGCCGGGCCAAGCATTCCCGTTCTTCCGCATTCAGCCATGCAGTAGCCATGCTGTCAAGTGCAACACCACCAGGTTTGGGTGCAGAAGACTGCCATGGTTCTGGGATAGCAGGTTCGGCCAGAGAGGTAGCTGCAGCGGGGCAGCTACCAAAAGATCCAGCAGTGTGCCGAACCAGTGCTATCGAGGCCATGTGGAGGCTATCAGGATAACCTTCGCCCTGTCCTGTTTGATCTTCACAAGGACTCTGTGAATCAACGGCACTGGCAGGAAGGCATACATCACCATGGGAACAGAAAGGTGTCTGACAGGGAGCCCCTATCCATCCCCTGGATTGAACAGAATACGTGGCATTTCCTGTTCTGACAGGAGGGGAACAAGTCCACCTGGGAAGTCCTCCACTTCCAGAAGATCATACTGATCGCCTCCAGATGGAGTGACCACTCGTGGCGAGATGAGAAGGTCCTGCTGAGGTGATCTGCTAACACGTTCCTGGTCCCAGGCAGATATGTGGCTACCAGATGAATGCCATGCCACACACATAAGTCCCAAAGGCAGAGAGCTTCTTGGCAAAGGGCCAACGACATAGCTCCACCCTGCCTGTTGATGTAATACATTGCAGCGGTATTGTTAGTCAGGACCTGCAACACCTTGCCCTTCAGGTGGGACAAGAAAGCCTGAAAGCCCAGGTGAACCGCTCTGATCTCCCTGACTTTTACATGGAGGGCCAGATCATCCTGCAACCAGTGGCCTTGCATGCTGAGCTTGCCCAGGTGGGCTCCCCAGCCCAGATCCGAAGCATCGGAGGCCAGGGTCAGCGACGACCAGCGAGCCTGGAGGCAGGTGGGTATACATGTACTCGAATCCCATGGCTGGCACAAAGTGCTTTTTCTCAGCCCCGTTGGAGGTGGGAGGGATGCATGACAGGGTTTTCCAGAGGACCTGGGCTATTTTTAAGACCCCATGGGGCACTAGTCATGTAACACGGGCAAGGGTAGATGCCGAGAGCACACTGAATAGGATGTCCACCTGTTCAGCATCTCCTCTACCTCTAGGCCCAAGTTCTCGGCCACCCATTGAAGCAGGGCCTGGTGCTCTTTGAAGTTGTCCAGCAGCCTGGCACTTGAAGACCCTGCACCACCTCATCCGGGAATGACGATGATGACTGGACCACCAGGGAGGCTCCAGAACATCATCCTCCATGGGGGAAGAGGGTTTTGGGGTGGGCACTCGCTCCTCTCCCCTGCCCTCTGAGTGCACTTTGCGCACCAAGCCTGGTGCCGCCAGCTGTTGCTCCGAGGTGGCAGCCAATTAATGGTGCGAAGGGGGCATTGGCATCACAGGCATGCCCCACGCACTCCAGTAGGGCCACTGTGCCGGCCACTGGCTGTGTGGCCAAGATGGCATCGCAGAGGTCGATGAAGCCTCGGGTGCCCAATCACGCCAGTGTTGCCTCGGTGAGGGACTGAATTCCCTCTCTGTGCCAGAGGAATCCCCTTCCGGTGACCACAGTGGGGCTGTCGATGCCTGCATTTTGAATATGAGGACCGGGGATGGGGGGACTGGTACTATGATGGAGACTGTTCCCAAGGTGCAGGGGACGGGGATCTGTGCCAAGAAGATGACCGGTGAGAGGATGAATGATGCCAGCGATACGGTGACAGGCGCCTCCCTATAGGGGATCTGCGTGGAGAGGACAGAGACCGCAATCATGGTGCCGGTGATCTAGGGCGACCTGCAAAGCACCTGCGTTGCAAAGCTGGAGATCTGCAGCGTGGAGACAGAGCGCATTGTCTTGGCTCTGGCAATTGGCAACACTCACTTGCCCTCTGGGGGGCTTGACAGCTGGCTTACTGTGGCCACAGCTGTAAGAACTTTCGACCCAGGACGCAGAAACAGCATGACATCCATGCACATGGTAGAGGCCTCTGCTCTCTGGGTGCCAGGAGAGCTTTGGAAGGTGCCATAGGCCTGGGTCCCCAACCGCTCCTGGGAGTTGGTGGCAGATCCCTTGGGGGGCTAGGGCCCCCCATTGGGGAGGCACATCCATGTGGCTCTGGTGTGGGCAGGTGGCCCGAACTGTGTCCTTTGTACAATACCCCATGGCCTTTCTTGCTCAGTACTGGGGAGCCGTCTTTCTTGGACTTCTTTTTGGGCACCGGTGATGGAGAGCAATGCCGGGCAGAACCCAGTGCCGGGCATGCACTACGCACCAAGGCCGAAGTGCTAGGGGCAGAGTCTGGCCAGGAAGGCTCCGACGCTGGGCGGAGAGCAGCCTCCATGAGGAGGGCCGTCCAATTGATGTCATGCTGTTTCTGCGTCCTGGGTCGAAAGTTCTTACAGCTGTGACACATGTGATTCCCCCAAGCACTTCAAGCAGCTGCTATGGGGGGTCACTTACAAGCATAGGCCTGTTGCAGTCAGAGCAGGGTATAAAATCCGGAGACCGGGGCATGCCCCACCTGGGGCGAAGTCCCCGTTGGGACTCTAACTTCTAACTACACTACGTAACAACCACTTAAACACTGATTACTATAAACAAACTGCTTACAAGGCCCTAAGGCTTGAAGACAGTAGAAACGAAACAGATAGCTCTTGCTAGGCAAGGAAAAGGCACTCTGACGAACCACCATGAGTGGTAAGAAGGAACTGAGAGGGTATAGGGCTGGCGGTGCCTAAAATACCGACGCATAAGCACGGCACTCAAGACAGCGCCACAGCCGACCCTACGGATACCGGTAAGGCAAAAATATCCGACAACTGTGCGCACACCTAGAATGGAACAGACATGAGCAAGCATTCAAAGAAGAAATTATATTACAAAATCAAAGAAAAAAGTGTATAGTCAGAAAAAGTCTTGTTTGGGTTTTGTAACATCTATTTCATTTCCATGCCTAATTAGCATTTTGCAGAAAAAATTCAACATCTTTGGACCTCCTTACACATACACATCTGCAACTGCCTTCACAGCATAGCGATCTGCTTGCTCTGCATTAACTTTAATTGTGTTCTACAATTATGTTTAAGGTTATAATCCTAAAAGGTACACACAAGCTTAACTTTACACATATGAATGAAGTCAATAGAACTACTGTGTGTAGAGTTACTTGTGTATTTGAAGGATCTGGGCCCAAATTTGTTTCTGGTACTTAATTATGGTTAAGGATAAATGTAAATTCAAACTGCATATCAAACACAAATTATCTAATACCTAATGTTCATATACCTGTGGGTATATTTGAACAACATACCCCGACATAAAGAGGCTCAGTGACTGTAAAGGTTGTAAAGTCTATCTTTCTATTCACACATCCTAATTTTGTTTGTGTGGATAGAGAGCCTGGCTCTGTCTGTATTAATTCAATTCATACAGTTTAAGAACTTGTGCTAAATGTGAAATAAATCTGCAAGTTCTAATGACACAGTTACCATAATTCTCTCATCAATCTCCACAATCCAAAGACAAGATCCAGTATATCCTCAGCTATACTTTGGACAGAATATTGATGCTGAATACTAATACTTACTTAGTTCTTCTTATGCACCATGACTCTTCTAAGATGTAATAATTCACTCCTAGTTTTAACAAATCTTTTTTCACTTCTTTTGCTGGTTTTCGACTATACATGGAATACACTATTTTAGTTCTGGCCCTTTGAAAATAAAAAATCCATAAAAGCTGTTAGGAAATAGGATGGGAGGGTGGGGAGAACCAAATTATTTAGGATGGATAAAATAGCCAGCCTGAGATACCATAATGAGGGGGATTGTATAAAAAAGGCAGACCGCTTTGTAAGAAAAGCATGTAATAAAATTATATTTATGTTAGAGTACTTGGGTTTAACATTTCTTAAGTTATTTGCCCTCCTATTTAAGACATGGCACCAGGAAACACTGCAGCTTCTTATTTCATACCGACTGTGTATCACTTGTGGGAGAGAAGCAACGACTTTCTACTGAATTGGTCTTTAAGACACATTTATATTTTAGATGATTCAGTTCCAGACATTTTGTTCTAACTTCACTCAGATTCATTCCACAGATTTTGACTGAAGTGGGTTATGTTTCTTCTGGTTTAATGAGAAACAAGATGAATTTCCTGGTGGACCCGTTTGCCCTCCCAGGAAAGTGAACTTCCTTCGATTTGTAAAGAGAGAAACTTCAAAAACAGAACTTGTTTCTTTCCATTTTCCACTAGCCTGAACAAAACACGATTTTAGTTTAAAGACAAGAAAGGGTGAGCAGAATCACTAAAAAGGAAAGCCTGGCATTGTGATCTACTGTCAATGCACTGAAGCAATGTACATAATCATATAATAACCTTAATAGAATTCTATTTGTCCTGTAAAAGAGAAGGTTGGTGAAAGTCTGAAGACATGCAGTGAATCATTTAGAATATTCTCTACAAAATCCTGTCAGTCTAGTGCTCATATGATTGTGGAATGGGGAAGTAAGGCAAATAGCTGTTTTGCAGACTTGAACCAAAATATTAAGGCTCTGATACCAAATACAGTTGAAGGGGATTGTCTGGAGACAGAGAGCAACATGATTATTGTTGGATCTTACATGTGACTAGAAATATACTATAAACTTGTGGCACTATCTGTGTGCTCCCCTTCCCCTACCCTCTTTCCACAAACTTGAGTTGCTGAAGACTGTTGCAATGATACTTGTGGATAAGATGTTAAAACTTTTTAAATAAATGAATTTCAGAAGCCAATTTACACAAAAAGTTCAGGTTCCGAAAACTGCAAGGAAAACAAATTAAGCCGTCAAATGCCATATGAAATGAACTGATCAAAAAAGTCTGTGCAAAATTTGAATTTCAATCAGTCTTAATAAAAGAAGTTCCTAACTTAATAATCAACATTTAAATAATATGGATTTAATATTTCAAGAAAACACAACCCTTGCTTCCAGTAATAACTAAGTAAAACCTGCAATCTTGAGAACTTGTCTGTTCACTGGGCCATGGGAAAACAGAGCAACAAGAGGTAGATTTAGTAGCAGGATGTTGCTTCAGACTTCATAATTACACAATATTTTTGATTACTAAGGCTATATTTATACTTTAAATGCTACGGTGGCACAACTGCAGCTGCATTACTGTAGCACTTCAGCGTAGAGACTACCTATGCTGATGCGTGGACTTCTCCCGTTAGTGTAGGTAATCCACCTTCCCAACGGGCGGTAACTCAGTCAACGGCAGAATTCTTCTGTTGATCTAGAGCTGTCTACACTGGGGACTAGGTTGGTTTAATTATGCCATATAGTGGTGTGGATTTTTCATACTCCTGAGCGACACAGCTGAGTCGATCTAACTTTTTAGCATAGACCAGCCTTAAGTCTGAACCATTACAGTGTCTCTACTACTTCTATCCCACAATGGACTATTGTCCTTCAACTTGCTGATGACTATTTTAAAACAATGTTGATTAGTCAAATAAAAATATGACCTAGAACTTCATGGGTTTTTAAAAGATTGTACTAGACAACATGATGATCATTCCTGTTGTACATCGCAAGGCTAAAATAATTAATGTTAGAGGAATAAAACTGAACTTTGAAATTTACCTCAGCCCTGCATCTTCATAATGGGGATGATTTACAATCGGTCGAAGGGCAGACAACTTGACACTAGCCATTGTAGGCATCGCTCCTGCAAAAACAGCATCTGTAATATATAATGAAAGACTTATTTAAAGCAGGGATAATTAAAAAAAGGGGAGAAGAGATTCAGTTTCAAATAGTCAAACCAGGACGATACAACAGAATAAATGTAAGGATGGAGAGATCTGTTGCACTTTAAAAATAAATAAATCAATCAATCCTTAAATTTAATTGCTCTGAAAGCTTGGTTCAAATAGCCTGTGAAGAGATGCTCAAAAGACAAAGGCCAAGGATTTTCAAAACTAACTATTTATTTGGGATGATAAGCACCCTCTGGAAAAAAAAAATCTGACTTTTTAAAGCAACTCAAGTTGAGCACCCAAAACGAGGCATGCAAAAATCACTGGTAATTTTGGAAAGTCTTGAGTACTGTATCAGTCTTAAGGAATTAAACTATTAAATTTGTGGACTTAATATATTTTATTAAGTCTTTTTGGTCGTGAATCTGTATATTGACACATTCATGCCAGTGTCGATTTTTACTTGATTTCTGATGCATGTACACCCAAGTATTTCCCACCTGACTGTGATATAAGTCCTTAGTGCATGCAGATACTTTCACTTTTATAACTATCTATTTACGGAGAAGCAGCTCATTTTCTGATTTATCCGTCTACCTTTGAACAACAGGAGAGGAACAAACAGGGACATGCCCTAGAATGAATAGGGCGTGCTCTACTGATGAAATGAAGAGCAAAGCCCAAGTCTGCATATGGATCCATGTGGATAGAACCCTACAATTTATGTTGAGTCCATTTAAGTCTATTAGTGATACTACAGCAGTGCCTAGGGGTCCCAAACAAGTTTGAAGCCCAACAGTATTAGGCTCTGTACAAAATTATAGTAAAAAACAGCCTCTGTCCAGAAGAGCTTATAAAACTAATAGAGAGGGGAAACAGAACCAAGTGACTTGTACAACGTCATGCAGCACGTCACTGAGAGCTAGGACTGAAATGAAGGTCTCCTCAGTCCCAGCTCAGTATTTTATCCACTAGATCATGATGCGTCAGTCAACTGAGCACTGTATATGTACAAAGGTCCACAAACATGGCTCCAACTGCATGAACGATACCCAAGTACGTGAATGCTGTTGCACTTAAGAACACAAGCATTTTCAAAAAGTATGTTCATCATATTTCAGGAGAAACTTTTGAGACAAATAATGAACTTTCCTTTAGGAATTTTTTTCTTCTGAATAGAATTATACTGAGGTTTTAGCCAAAATGTGATTGTCTTCAAGAAAAAAGGCATACAAGATGTTACTAACTTATACTAACTGTTGTTCTTTGAGATGTGGGTACAGACATGCACCCAGTATACCAAAGCCAGAGAACTTTGCCTAGCAGTACCCGTAGAGGCGGTGCACACATCCTCTAGCTCCTTAGACCCCCCCCAGGTTATTTAGGGGCAGTGCTGCCTCAACCTCCCTCTCAGCACACCAAACATCAAGAATTGAAACTCCTATGTAGAGGGGACAGAGGGTGTGTCATAGAATACACATCTGCACCCACATCAAAAGGAACAGTAACAGCACATTAAAATAACTGTCCTTTCTTCTTTGAGTGAGTGCAGACATGTATTTCACTTAGGTGACTGACAAGCACTATCAGGACATGTGGCTCACAGTCTATTCTGAGAGCAACTGCAAGACTGCCTTCCCAAAATTTGCAGAATATCATCATGCTTTGTAAAATTATGTACGGAAGACCAAACAACAGCCCTGCAAATGTCCAGTATTAAAATATCACTGAGAAATGCAACGGATGTCACTTGGGAAGTAGTCACTCATTGAAGTAGTCACGGCCACAAGAAAAACACTGTCTTTTGGCGTAGAAAAGACAAAGAACAAATTGCCTGGGGCTCAAATGGAAAACCCATGAGGGCAGCCAACAGAGTGCTAAGGTCCCATTGAGGAATCACTTCCTTTACCAATGGAAAGAAACGAGTGACCCCTTTCATGAACCTGGCTACAATGGCATTTGAAAAACTGATTTCCCTTGGATAGAGGATGAAATGCTGAAATTGCTGCCCAGAGGACCCTCAACGAACTGATAAGACAGACCACAGGACTGAAGGTGTAATAGGAACTCCAAAATGTCCTGAATGCGGGCTTGCCTCAACTGAACTCCCTGGGGACAAGAACTAAGTTGAAATACATTTCCACTTAGCCAAATATGTAGTCCTAGTAAAGGATTTTCTACTACTAAGTTGAACCTGTTGAACAGCTGTGGAACAGTGCTCCTTCTGATCTAACCAGGCGGCATCCATGCAGTGAGATGTCGACTGATTGGAGCTGGATATCAACAATAAAATCCCAGAAAGACTGAGATAAAGAAGCTTGAAGTAAACTTTCACACTGATTGCTCCAACTCTAGCCATGCATGGCAAGAAGGAACTGATGGTGGTCAGGGTAGCACCACCTTTAAATAACCTGAGGAGGAGCTAAGGGGTCAGAGGACACAAGTGCAGCACCTACAGTTACCTGTAAGAAAAATTCTCTGGCTTTGGTGCACCTGAGTGGAATACATGTCTGCCACTTGCAGAACAGAGGATTCTCACTTAAACATAAGTGAAATACAAGGAACGTATCCCAGCATTCCAAATATGTTAGTTAAAAAAATTGTTTAATTTAATCTGTGTCAAAAACCATGTGTGTAATGGCACAATAGTATTTTGAAAAAATGCAGTTAGCATTTTAATTGGCTTAATCTTGATTCAATTCCAGCATCTAATAAGGTTTAACTGCTCCTGACTGACTGCATTTTGACAGATTATTGCTAAAAATTCCTTCAGTTACAGCTCAAATAAGGACATCATCACACACAACTAAATAGTTTACCTTGTCTGGTACTGGATTTTATCCATTCTAAAAGTTCTTCCTGTGGCAAATTGCTAAATTCTCCCATTATGTTCCACTGATTCTGAAGGTTTGCTGATCCCTCTATTGCCATTATTGCTAAAATAGCAAAGACCAATGTTTTGGGCTGAATTTTGCCAAAGAGCCATCCAAACAACTGAAATATAAAAGCCAGTTAATTCCAAAATACCTACAGTATTATACAATATTCATGTCTTATGATTTTAATTTCTCCAGTAGAACCTGTCACACATATTACAATCAATCACAGATGTTCTTTTAGGGCCCAGTCCTGCTCCTATTGACGTCAATGGAAATTCTGCCATTAACTTCAGTGAGAGTAGGATTAAGACCTTAAGTATTCACTTAAGTTGACTCCACTGGAGTATGCTGCTCCTACTTTTCTTATACTATAAAATAAGAAAATATGCATTAATGCAACTTTAAATTTTCAGTGATCATAAAGTCAGGGAATGCAGCAGTTAAGGTTCATTCAGCAATGTCATCTAAATCTCACATATGTAGTATTTTATATTCTTGTCAAATGAACAGTTCAGTATATTTCTGATCATTTTAAATGTATTTCATAAAAAGATACAGGAAAGGTCAACTTTTTTTAAGAACCCAGAAGCAAATCAGAAAGGAAAGAGTTAAATGGTAGAAATTTACTGTTACATCACATCTATTCTTTCCCTCTCCCACACTGAAAGAGATAGGCTTTGTTTGAACAACAGTGCAAATGGTTTGAAGCAGACTTTGAAGTGCACATCTCAGTAAAATGAGTATTGTGTAGGGAAACAGGAATTCTGTTTTACTGCTCTACTGTTTTGCTTGATCAAGGACAACCAATCCCTGCCACACTTTCCCTAACTCCCCAAGTACCCACAAAACATATCCCTTAATTTTTATTGGCAACTTCTGAATTAAAAAAGCAATGGTTTACACTTCATGCTTATTACACCTGGTTACACACTGTTTAACAACTTGGCGCTAGCTAAATGCATTCCCATTAATCAGAATTTATGTAATTACTGTACTATTAAAGCAGCAGGAATTACCAATCACTGTTAGGCTAAATTATTTAATTTCCAATTAAGACCTTCCAATAAGCCAGCAGTATCAATTAAACATGTGCCACATAACAGTATTTTATTTTTTATATAATACACTGCCTCTGGCAGCAGAGAGGGAACATGGCCAAAGCACCATCGTTCTACAGGGTACAATATACACTCCACTGTTTCTCCCAGAAGAGCCCAGCTCCTTCCCCGCTGAGGATCTAGCACAAGCAGCTGCACTAGTCTGGAGCATTCACTGTACACAGTGTACATGGCCCCAGTGTCAGTCAAAGCTTCTTGTTTCTTCTTTCCACCTGAGTGCTTCTCTACAGATCTGTGCATTAATGAGAACACTAGTTTACATAACCCAAAGGGAGCAACCTGCTGTCTGCTGAATGAATGAAGCAGAAGGAGCTTCTTATATGGGCTTGCAATGATTGTTTTGATAATAAAAACTTTTATTTGGAAGGGTGAAAAAAAAAACTTTATAACCACATTTAGATGGTCATAACTTATGTTACTTTCTTGGGGAAAGTGCTTACAACAGAGAACAAAAGTAGATGTGTAGATGCCAAAATACCACAAACCCGTTTTATGGACATTTATAATCCTACTCATCTCTAAAAATTAAAATGTCATTTTATATAAATATAATATGATGCTGACCAATTAATTTGACTGCTGATCTGTTTTTAGTAGTTGGTAGCTCTTTGGCAGATGTACTAACAGCTACATTGCAATCTCAGTTTAAGTGAGAACGTGTTAGAACATTTAAACTCCTTAGTCAGTTTGCTGCTTTTCAGGTGAAGAAAAACTACACTCCCATAATGGTTCTATAAAAACCTGATAAAAGTAACAGTATTTTGTATATATGCAGAACCCAAATACAACAAAAGAATCTCCTTTTATATGAGGTTGTGACTAGATTAGGAGGATTCTCATGTGGTACATGATTCATAAATATGCTCTGCCAAATAAATCTTTAAATGTTTGCAAGGAATATTTTCTTAATTTTCAAGTCCATCAGAACGTTTTCTGCTGGTTTTTAAAATTCCACTTAGGATGGAGTAATTCCTCCTAATTTAGAGAGCAAACACACACAAACAACGTCAGCTTTATCATCAGCGTGTCCCCCACGCTGCAAGATGCTGCAGTGAGCAAACTGTGCTCAGTTTGATAATGAAGGGTATAATCATCCATGTGATGCCCTGAAAGAAAAACAACCAGCAGCAGAACTAATCCCATTCCACAGATGCCCAGTCTCAGGCTATGTATTCTTGGACAAAAAAAGGTGTTTTTACTGTAAGGATAACTAGTGTGTGTTAGCTATCATGCTGTAAAACTCTTAGTGGTGACAAGGCATTGTAGTTTTACCATGAGGCAACCTAGATGAGGTCAACCATGGATGGGGTTATAGTGCTGACCTCGCCTAGCTATTTCACAGCAAAAACAACTGCCTTGTTTCTTCTTAGGAGTTTACAGCAAGATAACTATCATGCATTAGTTATCTCACTGTAAAAAAAAACCCACCTTTGAGGTTTTATCTTCACTGACAATCTCCCTCCTACTACTTATCTTGGGGACTAGATTAGATGGTCCAGATCGCTTGCTGTTCTGTCTTATGTTCCTAAATCTTTGTAAACTGTTTTCACCCTTACCACTCTCATAATTGCTTAATCCTGACATCCATCCCACAGATATCAAATCCTCCCAGAACCTTATTCTAGACAAGGCTGGACAATCATTTAGTCCTGACTCCCCTCTAATCCTAGTCGGACCAAAAAGCAGTTATTCCGTCCAGTTCTTTTTATACATATACAGCCAGATTCTTGAGTTTGCCTGAGCTATTCTTGGCTGAGAACCCAATGGGGGAGGCTGAAAGCCACTTTTACACTTCCTTGGTCTTGGAGGTAGTGCGAGGTCTTCTCATCCCCTTTGTGTAAGGTAGGGCAACCTCATGTCTGCTCTAATCTATGCTGGATGCAAGAGCTCCTAGGGCCATTCCAGTCAGTGTAAGGCATGTCAGCCATAATCTTTTATAAGATTATGTCTTATCTTTTATAAGATTATCATAATCATAAGCCTCCTCTTGATGCATGAGAAAAATGCTCTAGGAAGAAGCTAGACTCCATCTGTCAGACTTAAGTACTAAGCCCCAGTACCCTATCCTGAATGTGTAAATACAGTAAATGGAATATGTAGGTACTTTAGACCTTTTAATTAATTGAAAGTTTTATACTTACTCTGCAAAAGTTAACATTTTATGCATACTGACTATAAAAATGAAGGTTTGTCATAATGCTTTCCCCCCACATGTTGCAACACTGGTTTCAAATTAAATTGATGAGTGGATAAAATTTTGATTATTTCAACTGCTCACTTATCCAGAACATTAGAGAGAGTAGTATTTGGACCTCAAATTAATATGCAAATAGCTAAATTATTCAATTAATCAATCAGAAAACAATCAGAGAAGCAATATATGCAATCTGATGGGGTCAGATCAGGATCATTGTTCTTATGCTCAAAACTGGATAATGCAGATGAGCAATGTATAGTTAAAGCAAAATATATTACATTACGAAACAGTTAGTTTAAGAATCTCAACTTCCACCGTTTAAAAAGGAAAGGCCAGGACATAAAGCTATATGGTATATGCAGGATTATGCATCTAGTGTTTTTGTTAACTTAAAAGATATTACACCTAATGATATACTCTTAGAATTCTCTGCAAATTTCTAGTTTGGATGCTGTAAGCAATATAAACATATTTCAGTTAAGCACTGAAAAATAAGACTCAATTACCAAGTTTCATATCCCATGATGATAAACATTCTATGCAACAGAGGTCACTTTGAATTTATAGATAATGTTCATTGAAGAGTACATACTTTTAGTATTATGAAACCAAAGTTTTACCCAGGTTTAAAATTCAGGAATACTTGCTTGGTAATTAAATTGTAACACACTGCAATATTAGTTACCAGTTACAAACAGCAGTACCTAAGCTTTCAACTTTGCTGTGTTCACATCTACTTTAAATAAGACAGACATGAGCATACTGTGTGAGAGCAAGGCTTAGGAGTGAATTGGAAATTACAGAAAATTGAAACCCATGCACAAGTTTGTCTAAAAAAAAAAATCTGTTTTGCTACAGTTCAATTAAATTTGCAGAGAACAAACATTTAGCTAACTGCTGCAGGAAAGAGAATATCTGATTTAAACTAGGGCTGTCAGTTAATCGCAGTTCACTCATGCAATTAACTCAAAAAAATTAATCGTGATTAATCGCACTGTTAAAACAGAATACCAATTGAAATTTATTAAATATTTTTGGATGTTTTTCTACATTTTAAAATATATTGATTTCTATTACAACACAATACAAAGTGCACAGTGCTCACTTTATTATTTTTATTACAAATATTTGCGCTGTAAAATGATAAATAAAAGAAACAGTATTTTTCAATTCACCTCATGTAAGTACTGTAGTGCAATCTCTTTATCATGGAAGTGCAACGTCAAATGTAGTTTTTTTGTTACATAACTGCTCTCAAATACAAAACAATGTAAAACTTTAGAGCCTACAAGTCCACTCAGTCCTAATTCTTGTTCAGCCAATCGCTAAGACAAACAAGTTTGTTTACATTTACAGGAGGTGCTGCTGCCTGCTTCTTATTTACAATGTCACCTGAAAGTAAGAACAGGCATTTGCATGGCACTTCTGTAGCCGTCGTTGCAGGTATTACATGCCAGATATGCTAAACATTCGTATGTCCTTTCATGCTTTGGCCACCATTCCAGAGGACATGCTTCCATGCTGATTATGCTCGTTAAAAAATAATACATTCATTAAATTTGCGACTGAACTCCTTGGGAGAGACCTATAGGTCTTTGGTTCTGTTTTACCCGCATTCTGCCATATATTTCATGCTATAGCAGTCTTGGATGATGACCCAGTACATGTTTGTTAAGAACACTTTCACAGCAGATTTGACAAAATGCAAAGAAGATAGCAACTTGAGATTTCTAAAAATAGCTACAGAACTCAAACCAAGGTTTAAGAATCAGAAGTGCCTTCCAAAATCTGAGAGGGATG